GTTAGTGATTTTTCTCTTCCGATTTTTTAATTCTCAATATCGACTATTTATCTTGCTCAACGATTACAAAAATTAAAGTATATAGGTATATGAATACGGGGAGGCTTTTATAAGTGTATCCATTTTTTTTATTAAATTCTAGACATAAAGGATGTTATATAAAAAAATTATAAATAATTAAAATAACTCTTAATTAATTAATTACATTCACTTTAACTTATCCCAAAAAGTGCGTGATTTATGGGCAACTCATTTAGGTTACGCGCCCATTACTCTCTTATACGCAAACAAGTTCGTTTCAAATATATATGACGCACCGTCAACAAGTTCCGTTTTTTAGGGAACAGAATGGCAATTTATTTGAAAAAAAAAAGATTATTTTTATTTCAATAAACGATTCAAAATCAAAAATATATTTATTCAAATAGACGCTTGCGCGCTCTTATAAATTATGTATATAGGTTCGTAAGGTACTGTTAAGAGAACAGTTGGTCTTTTTCAAAAGTATCAGTTTACAACATAATATACAGGTATTATATTATATTGTAATAGGTAATAGTCTTATTCTAGCCTACGTGAGTATCAACAGTACTAACTCCACACATTGGCGTCATCAAGATATTCCGTAATGGTATAATATGCTTTAACCATAAGTTGACTTCTAATTTTACGTTTAAATTGGTCAAGCGGCAGACTTAATAGCGACTGTGGAATTTTATTATAAATGCGCACACTTTGCCCCATGAACCATCTATTTACTTTTTTTAGACGTAACAATGGCGTAGTAAGTTTGTCCTTATTTCTTTTGTCTAAAAACAGCGAAGCTTAGCCATACTATTAATAGTAAACCAGTGGAGGATATGTGAAATTGCACTATTCAGGTCGTCATAATTTAATACGTTTCGGTCAACCTTAAATATTTGCGATGTATCGTCAGCAAACAGTACAACATCACACAACCCACTGGTATAAAAGGGGAGATCATTAATATATACTAAAAATAATAATGGGCTCAAGATTGTTCCTTGTGGGACACCCATTTTCATCGGGGGCGTAGCGGAATTAACGTCATTTATAGATACTTTCTAAATTATATTTCTAAGGTAAGAGGCAATGAGATTGAGGGCGACGCCACGAATGCCATAATATTTTAGCTTTTGAAGGAGAATTTTATGGTCTATGCAGTCGAAGGCTTTTGAAAGGTCACAAAAGACACCTATTGCATTTTGTTACCTTTCCCAGGCGCTATGAATATGTTTGACAAGTACGACACCCGCATCTTTTGTCGATCTGCCTTTAGTGAATCCATATTGCTCATCGTGAAAGATTTTGTTCAAATTAAAATGTATTAAAAGTTTTTTTTTAAATTAGTTTTTCAAAACTTTACATAGAGATATGGAAATAGGTCTATAGTTGCCTGGATCTTTTGTATCACCACTTTGTAGACAGAGATTATCTTACTTAATTTCATAAGAACGGGAAATATTTCAGAATCTATACAGTTGTTAAAAATAGAAGCCAAATGTGGTGCAATATACGGCATTATTGTGCTCATTAATTATATGGACATGCCCTATAAATTTTAAGATTAATATAATTAAAATTTTTTATAATATCATAAGTATCTACGTGATTAAATTTAAATGTGTGTTGACAATAGGTAACATTAGATTATATTACGAAGCCTGAACCTACTGTATGAATTTGGGCACCTTTAGATAAGCCACCCTGTATATTGTTATGACGGGAAAAATATTCAGCCCAAATTAAAAAACGTCACGATACTTAGTTTACTAACACTTTTGTCTTGCAGAGAAGTAAACAGGTTAAAGATTTACACTTTCTACAACTCTTGCTATATCCACACAATAAGAGCTGAGTAGATGCAGGTTCGAATCCTAGGAGCGTTGAAAATTTTGCTACAACTTATCTATTCAACTCACAGTGCACTAGCACTACAGGTTAGCACTAAAAATAATCCTCAATAACTTACCACTACAGCTACTTAAATTTGAACATTAAATATTAATTTAGTAAAAAGAGTATTTTTTTCATAAACACTTCTGTTTCAATATTCATTTCTGTTTCCGTTTCCGCTTAAATTTTCTGCTTCTGTTTCTTCCTCATTTCTGTTTTATTACTTAGTAGTTCATACAATATCACATGCATAACAATATCAACTTTTACAATAATTCTTCTTCATTAGATTCTTACTACAGATGGTTAAGCAAAAGCAGATGGAACTAGTATCCTTGCTTGACCATCTTCCACTTCCATCAAATCCAATCCACTTCTTTCGAATATTTTTGGCATATAGGTATTGAACGCAAATTCTACTGCATGAATGCGTTTTCATTCGTACATATTATACTGCCATACAAGAATGTATGTTATAACATTGTGTGTTGAATAAGCAAATATTATTTTACACAGACATGAATAGTCCAATTCATACTATCCAGATTCAAAAAACTGTTTTTTTAATGAGAAAATATGATTTTGATTGAAAAATATGATTTGATTTTTGGATCGCAAGTTACGTTTTATTTTTGAAGGAACAAAGCATTGAGGAAAAATATAGAGGAATTTTTAAATAAAAAATGAACCAAAATGTTTTCCCCACTGCGTTTAGATTCGCCCTCGTAGGACTATCGACGCATACCTTATAGCACGAGGTATCTTTTCATCTGTATATAGGAGGATATACAACCATATCAGTTACAAATATACTGTGATAACTAAGCTGATATAAAGTTTAGACCCCGTAGTTTTGATTAAAAAAATTGTGTAAATTTATTTTGTATTATTTCTAGATCTTTGATTCTATACAACGTTTTTAAAGCATATTGAACAAAATTTTGACCGAGCTTAAATTATTAAGGTAATCCTCACAATGTTTCAAGATGTATCCGAGACTCCTGAAAGCCTTTTTACATACATGTATATAATATGGTCTCTAAACTCAAATTGAGGTATTATAATGACGCCTAAATACCTAACATCATGACGTGAATGATTTAGTGCGATGCGAGGCAGTGCGATGATGTATATCCTACTATTCTTGGATTTACATTCGTATATAAACCAATAATTCTAATATATAAAATTCTCGTGTTTGTAATTGAACTCCTCCGAAACGACTCGACCGATTTTCGTGTGCATATAATAAAATATAAATTTTGTATGCATATCGGCTAGGGTGGAGAATCGGACAACATCTATTTTTCATTCCCTTAAATGTTAAGGGTGGTCCGCCCCAAACATTTTTTTCTAACCTGCAAATAATTTATATGGCAAAACAAAGTTTGCCGGGTCAGCTATTTTTTTATAATATTTAACCAATAAGTTCGTTTATAAATAATTGTAAAAATTAACAAATTCATTAATTATTGATTTGCTAAAAGATGTATTGAGACATCTTGATCTGTATTAATAATGATTTTTCCAACGATTAAGTATTTTAAATAAATGATAAATGCGCATCAGGAGGAACTGATTCCGACGATTTTTGCTTCTGCTTTTATAAGTGGTTATATGTAGTCTTACGTCTTTTGTTAAGAATAACACGAAAAGAAGCCATTATTCAACCCAAGAACTGAGAAAATATGAATTTAAAATTTGTTTCATAGAGTCGTAACCATCATCGTTTGTAAATTTTAAGTCAAACGGTCAACAGGTATCCCAAAATGATGGAAAGATGTACTGTTAAAGAACATGGTAGAGTATCAAATGTTCGATGACGATAGAACGAAGTGTAGAGCAAATGTAAGGAACGTTGACCCCACCATTATGTGGGATATATAGCTTGGAAGAGAGAGAGAGAGGTCAGATGTACCCTTGTATGTAATTAGCTAAAGAGGCAGTTAGATACAACAAGAAAATTAATTCGAACTTTGATTTAATCTTCAACGTTTTTATTCTATTAAAATGTTTTATACATACCATCTGTATGTTTTCCTCTGTAATAACAGATAATAATAAAGATATCAGCGTTATAAAAATATGTGACAGGTGTTTGCGTATTATACTATTTTTAATATTTATCTATTATAAGAATATAACTTAACGCGCTATGCATAACAAACACATAAACATCGTCGCTTGGTTCGTATTTAGCCTGTTTGGAGTATACATGTGGGTGACAGGCTTGCATTGAGGTACCAAAAATGGTAATGATACCATTGAGTATGGCAGGCACTAGAGACATTTTAGAAACACAAGAGGTCTGAGGACTTTGTCTCTGGTGTACTAGCATTCACCCTCCACTAATTACAAAGTCATATAGAGCATGCAGAGGTACTATGAGGCGGGGAACTATTACTAGTATTTATAAAGATACTGATTACTTTTTTTAATAAATGTAAAAGATTACCAAAATAGAGTATTATTTATGTACCTGGCACCTTTTCTATAAGTTGTGAAAGACTTATAAATATTTGCATATAGTTACTATTAGTATAAAATATCGATTGTTCCAATTTAGAAGGTTTTCTTTATTATTATTTTATTAGAATTGAATTAACAAAATGTATGTTTTTTTTATTGATATTATATTTCATTTTTCGCAGATCATGAGAAAAGTACTTTATACAACAAAAAAACTCCTGCTAATTTTATACTTAAATACTTTTGCCTATATAGGTATTTAAATAATTTATAAAAAAAATATATGACCGCCGAGTTTCTTGCCGGTTCTTCTCTTGCAGGTCTAGTTTAGTGAACCGGTGGTAGTTTTTGGCGTTCAATAAGAGCTTAAAATAAGCTTATGTCGAATAAAGAAATTTTAAAGTTTTTTGCTATAAAGTTGTAAAAACAAACATAAATCTTCTTCAACATTCTATGTTGCAGTTCTGATCAAAGCATGATCCTTGATTTGATTCCGGTTTCCCATAGTATCACCAAATACAACAACAACATTAAAAAGAGAAACGATTAGCGAAGATTAACTTTCTTAATTGATGTGCTTACACCGAAGTAATATCAAAGCCAATGCGGCTTTAGCGCTGAACCCACGCGAAGCCATCAGAAATTTTCAGCATAAAAGGGCGGAGTCGCCTGTTGTAGGTAGATCGAAAAGCGTTGGTTTGCAGCACGCCAACGTGCAGACGAGTCGGTGCGAAGGGGCGCGTGGGTGGGTTGCAGGGGTGAGGCCAGACGGCGAATGAACTGCAGAAAGGGTTAATGTTCGCTTCCCCTGCACCACCGCCCGCGTTCACCAACTTACGTTTTTGCCACTGAACAGTTGCATTACCTATCTCTGAGACAATAGTGTGAATCCCCTTGCTGAAAGCGAAGCCTTGTTTTAAGTTTCACTTTTGAAAGCGATCTTACCGAATGGTGTTATGCCCATTATGTGTCGATTATTCTAGATAAATTTATATGTAAGAAAGGTTGATTTAAAGAGGTTAAAGAGGGCCGATTATATTCTTGGTACAAGAAGCATAATTATTCAGCGAGGAAATACAGCGTTCTTGGCATAATGCCGCGTGGATTAGGTTTATTAGATTACTCATTATTAATTTAATTAGTATTTACTATTGTAAATATTTTTTTTTAAATAAAGTATTAATACAATATTTAACCAGTTAAGATAATAATGAAAAAGTACAATTCAATTTTAAATCGGAAAGTGTTACGGATTATTTTATGGCTAATGCTAACAATTTAACGTGCACTTCACTACACACTTTTATGTTTTACACATTAATATTTTTTTAAATACACTTAATATTTTATTAAATCTGTTCAAAGAAAGCACTAGGGTAATGATTTTGACTTAATTGCAGATTTTAAACAATCTTTCAGTTTGCCTGCATCTCAAATCTTTTTTCGATGAAACTCGTATCTACTTCAGGTGTTTTTTTTTTTAATTTCAGTAAATAAAAATCACGCCGCCAAACTATAGTGTAAAGTTGGTTCAACATAAGCTATACCATCCGGGTCAAGAAAGTTTCTTATTTAAAGTCTTACAGCTGAAGAGATGATCTTTTCAGTCTGTAGATGTAGATGTAGACAAATCAACATTTCTGTTAGATTTACAGTTCAGAAATTATATTTATAATTAAAATATATTAAAAGGACGATTTTATAAGGACTTCTCATTTAACATCACGCCAAAATGAATAAACAAGAGTCTAAGGTAACCGAACCCATATGGTTCGAGGATCATGCCACGGGAACGTCTGATTCGTGAATGTGTTTTTCTTTTGACTATCCTAATCTCATAACGAATACAATCATATATTTTTGTTCAACTCTGAAATCAAATACTAACAATAAATGGTCAGCTGCGAAGTTTAGTGATTATATGGGGATCACGGTAAGTAGGTACCGAACCTTAGTGGCCAGTAGGTAACATACCTCCAGTTTAAAATAACGCACGCATGTGCACATGCGTGGCCCTACGGCCTAGCTTGTGGGTTCGAAAAAAAAGCCCATGAACTCTGCCTCCTTTGAAGCTTTAATAGACTTCGAATTGAAAGAAAAAAAACATCAATTAAGGTAAGTAGGTAAGAGTGATTATATACGTATTAATCAAACATTGTGCTTTTCTGAATATGATAAGTATGATAAGAGTGATAATAATAAATTGATTTATATGTACTTCATATTCGATATGTTTGTAGTGAATTAGCTTTTGCAAAAGCAAAAGCGAATTTTATATATAATATAATGTTTCATTATTAAATTTTTTTCTTTTTTTACGTGGCAAAAATCCTTTATGGATCCCCCGACAGTCCGCCAGACTGCCATCAGGGGTATGTGGGCGTTACGGGGTACCCACTAAAAATCCACGTTGCACCTGCGCTGTCACTTTGCCGGGGACACGGGAACACGAAAACGCATACTTCCGCGAACCCCGGCGCGACTGTGGCCTTCTCAGGCCTCCTCTCCCCGGGTTCTTAGACACCCGATTCAGCCAAATGGTGCCGGTCGGTGCAATGAACACGGCACCCTTCTCAAGCCCTCCGCGGGGCAGCAGTTAGTTCCACATCTGCCGCCCCGGGGCTTGCTATCAGGGGGGAAGGTTGTGCGCGTAGGCTAGCCTCCTGCGCCCTGATCGCCAGCGGCGGATTTCCAGAGTGGCAGTTGCCTCCGTTTCTCTCTCCGCTGCCTCCTTCCGGGTGATTATGTCCTCGCAGAATGCAAGGACGGCACCCTACAACATCTCGCTGTCCAATATAGCGCGGACCACGGGGGGTAGCGAGAGATCGTGCCCCACGATAGCCATCAGCTCTCGGCGCCGCTCCCGCCAGGCTGGGCACACCTGCAGTGCGTGTTGGGCCGTCACCGTGCGGCACAACCATCGCAATGGTGGCAAACCGCAGTTGGCTCTCTCCCCTCAAAGTGGCACCTCCTAAGACAGCCATGTACCGAGAGAACCTGCGTCGCCCAGTAGGTGAGGGTGCCGTGACGTCTGTCCAGCCACCGTGAGTACCACGGTATCCGCCACCTGGGGACGCGCCCGATAGAAGGTCTGGCAACTTCCATGGGAATATGTTTACGGGAATGTGTTACCTACCTCAATTTCTCGGTACCTATTGATTAAGTCGAATTTTGGGTTCCACATCTTTGTTGCTTAGTGTGTAAAAATTTAAGCGATTGTGAATAAGAATCATTTCATATGCTATTTTACATTTACTATTTCCATGACTTGGCCTACACATAAAGATTCAGACTATTATTATTTTTGTCTTACGAAGTTCAGTTAAAGTTTCACAGTTAAATATCCTAATTAAAATTTAGAAATAAGACCAACGGTTATAGGGTCACGCGGCAGCCTGTTGGGCAGGCTGTTGGGCAGGCTCGCTCACAGAATACCGGCGTAAAGTGGAAGTGTAATACTTTCGCGTTTCGTCTGGTGAGTGAGGTGTCCGGAGCTCAATTTTCAAAAGGCTGTCAACACATCTGGAACCCTAGGGTGTAGCAGATGTCCATGGGCGGCAGTATTCACTTAACATCAGGTGAACCGTCTGCTCATTTGGCAACTTCTTATATAAAAAAAAATAAGACCAGTCCTTCATAACAACTTACTTCGGTCTATATTATTTGTCAATATATTGCTAAGGACGTTGATCAATTTAATTGTACTAAGGTTACAGATGAGTTACCTTCAATCTTAAAAAACTCTATGGTATTTAATGATCTGTTACGATTTATATGTCTCAAAAACAGACAGAACTGCTCGTTCTCGTTTGATAACATTACTGAACAACACTGAAAATAATATATGTCAATATCGAAAACGTGATGGGATTTTGTAAAGATTTTGTCATAAAATGTTGACTTGGTATGTAATGTCGGTAAAACCGGTAGCCACAGTGGCATATTTGATCTTTTGATCGCCCTTGGCATATGGATGATTGCCACCCCTACTCGCAGCTCACCTAACCCTAAGCGCAATAAACTAATTTAAGTAAAATAAAATAAAAATAAAAAACAACGAGTTATTTAATGATATCATAAAGCCAGCCGACGGTCTCATCAAGCCCCCTTGATTTATTATATTTTTATGGAATATAGCTTATGCGAAATAGCGTGAGGCAAAAGGCGCGACTATTAAAAAGAAAACCCACTAATTTGCCGCTAAAGTGCCGCCCTAGGCCCGAGCCTACTCGTCCTATAGGAAAATCTGCCGTTAGGTGGCCAAATATGTCAGAAACTAAGAGATATTTTTGATGAAATACATTTTTATACATATATTATGAAACCTTTCAAATTTTGTTTAAAAATTTACTTCGTGTAAATTCATGTCTTAAGTTATTTCTTACTACTTTATACAAAAAACATGAAAAAAGATCGTGTGATACGATGATACTTTTGGTTAACCGATGTTAAAAAATTTTTCAACCACCGATGAAGAAAATAAACTTTAAATAAATGTCTTACTAGTTCTCGGCTAAAAATGTAGATGTCACTCTTTGTAGTCGTGCATCTGATATAAGGAATAAATAGTTTAAAATAAAAAAAAATATTAAACACTAATAATACAAAAACTTTCATATTAATTGTTTATTAAGAGTGTAAATTTTAGACTCTTGTGTATAAAGATACAAAAAAATATATATATTACATAGGTACACATACACACAACCTTGACCGTTCAAAACATGAAAAGTGTTTCGGACTAGCTCCTATAAAATAATATTAACAAGACACACAGATATATATGTATATATGTATGTCTATATAGAGTGGACAATGCATGAATTCCGTGAGCAACTAGATTGTCCAAGCTCTCGATGACATACGGAGAGGCTAAGAGATAACCTCTGTACAGAGGAGACCTTTGACCAGCAGTAGGAAACATACATAGCCTTTTACTTGATTTTACAAAGGGATTGACCCCACAGATAGTTGTTACGGATCTGGCTGTAGTATCGGGAATATGTTGCCCGTTGTTAAGGTGGCCAGCGATCGTGGAATGGAAAGCGGTCCCGAAGCCTCGCCAATATGCAGCCTGAGTGAAAAATGTTGGAATGGCGGTTTTATTAAACTCCACCAGGCGAAGGCATTATTTCCCCACGTTAAAAGCATGCTCTCGATGCTTTTTAGAAAAAATTTGACAGTTAATCAACAGTGAGGCGAAAACCATTTTGATCCTCTGATAGTAAACGTGGGGAGTTCCATACCAGACATAAGCGTGACCGCTTAAAAACGTCGCCCGCGTGATGTCCTGTAAAAAACTTAACAGGCGATCCCGCGCGACGACACTATTAGGTACAGTGTTAGAGTACACGACCATTTATTTCACTGTGGGTGGTCCACCGTCCACGCAACAGCTTTTGGTGCTGCACGGGGGGACATGGGGATGTTCGTCCGGGTAAGCAGCACAGCCTCACAGAAGGCCGGCGTGAAGTGGAAGTATTAAACTTTCGCCTTTCGTTAAGTTAACCAGAGCCCACATTTTTCAAGGTTTTCAACGCATCAGCAAGCCATCGGGTGTCGAAGATGTTCATGGGCGGCGTGATTCATTTAACATCAGGTGAACTGCCTACTCGCTTGATAACTTTTCACATAATAAAGCCCCTCACCGAAATAATACCACAACGCTTGGCAAAATCAACACAACACGTAACCAAGACACACACGCGTTTCAGGATGGCTGTCGCCGCCCCGATTCAGTGATTAATTAATACAGTCAAAGGCCATCACACCGAACCACGATGCTCCTAGGTGAAACCTTCCCATTAAAATGAATAGGTAGCGTAGACTCATTCTACAGTCTCTTTATAAAATCTTTTTAATAAAAAATTGCCTTTACGTAATAGTATTGTTATATCAATATTCGGTGTATCTCTCTGATAATTTATGGAAATTTGTTAAAAAATCAAAAAATATATTTATTCA